CCCAATGCACAAAAGAAAAACTATAGTCGCCATCCTGCATGGCTCGGCCTCGAATCGAACGAGGATTCCTGCTCAAACATAACCAGGGTCGCATGTATCTGATATTGTGCAGGTGCGGACCATCCACCACTGAGCTGTTTCTACTTCTACTTTCATCCACATAAGTCAGCTGCTTTTGTTGAGGAGGGACCAAAACATGAACGTTGTCCAGTGGAAATTCAATGATGTTTGAATATGAAGAAAAAGGCCTCGCAAATACAAACTGTGGCAAGGTAACACAGCGTTTACCACGACAAAAAAAAATGTTGTGGACCATGCATGCCTCGGGCTCGAATCGAACGAGCTACGTCTGCGTAACGTCAGTTTCCGCCCCCAACCGTTGCTGATGCGGGCCATCCGCCACCGAGGCTTTTCGGGACACCACGGACTCCGAATATATATTCGCATGTTCCGGAGTCGGTAGTGGACTCCCCGGTTCATCTGGATTTGGTTTTTGATTTCTTCCATTGACTTGAAAGAATGGGACATGTCGGCGTCTACCCAAGGAGAAAGAGAAGAAAAAAATCGACACCCACACTACCTATGGCTCAGCCTCGAATCGAACAAGTGACTTCTGCAGGTTTGGTCCTAATTGCACCCAAATATTGCAGATGCGGACCATCCGCCACCGAGCTGCTGCGTCCTCTTCTTTCAGTCCAATAAGTTGCCGACTTTATTGAAGCTGGGAAATGGATAATACAAAATGAAGGTGGTCCAAAGTGGTGTGAGTACGATCAATATGTAGTGCTTGAATATGAAGAGAAAAAACTCCTCGTATATAACTGTGGCCAAGGTCCCACAAGGCACCCCAAAGCAAGGAGAAAAAAAACTCAGACTAGAGATCAACAGTGCCTCGGGCTTGAATCGAACGAGCTACTTCTGCGCAACCTGGATAGCGTGCGAATTATTGCAGATGCGGACCATCCGCCACCGAGGCTTTTCAAACCATTGCCAACTCAAAATATGTTGGCGATTATCCTGGCATAGAGTTGAAACGAGGCAGCGGTCTGAACCAGTTGCGGATGCAAATCCTGGTTTGTTAGTTCTCTTGATTTCTTGCCTTGGCTCCAATGATCGGCAATTTTGGTTGGTTCAATTTCGCTCCTACGCAATGCACAAAAGAAAAACTGTAGTCACCATCGCATCATGGCTCGGCCTCGAATCGAACGAGGGATCCCTGCTCAAAGCCAGAATCATGATACTAATATCTGCAGGCGCGGACCATCCGCCATCGAGTCGGTTAATACCCTGCGCTCACTCGGAATATGTTGATGACTTTTGGAGGAAAGGGACACAAAATGAAGGTGGTCTAAAGTGGGGGTACATTCAATACATATTGCTTGACTGTGAAAAAAAAAGCTCTCTGAGTCTTAGATACAGACTGCAGCCAAGGTCACACAGCGTTTACCACGACAAAAAAAAGCGTTTCCCACCACGCATGCCTCGGGCTCGAATCGAACGAGCTACGTCTGCGTAACATCGGTTTCCGCCCCTAACCGTTGCAGATGCGGACCATCCGCCACCGAGGCTTTTCAGGACACTACGGACTCGGAATATGTTGGCAACTTTCCGGGCATAGAGTTGAAACGAGGTTGCAGTCTGAGCCTGTTGCGGGTGCGAGTCTCAGTTCATTTAAATTTGTTTGCTTGCCTTGGCTCGAGTGAACCTTGTTCGATCCACTTTCCCTCCTACCCAATGACTAAAAAAAGTCGATTTTATTTCCATGGCTCGGCCTCGAATCGAACGAGGATTCCTGCTTCCCGCTTAAATACAGTCACGGTCCAGTATAATATTGTGCAGGCGCTGACCATCCGCCACCGAGCCGGTGAATGCCCTGCACTCACTCGCAATATGTCAATAACCTTTTGAAACTGGGGAATGGAGGGATAAAAAAAATGAACATGGTGATTACATTCAATAGTGCTTGAATGTGAAAAAAGACCTTGCAGATACATCTAAGCCAGACTGCGGTCAAGGTCCCACAGTGTTTACCACGACAAAGAAAAGATCCGTTACAACCACGAATGCCTCGGGCTCGAATCGAACGAGCGACCTCTGCGCAAATGGGATGGGCATATGTAAATTGTTGCAGATGCGGACCATCTGCTACCGAGGGCTTTGCGAGTATCTTCGAACTCCAATTATGTGGGCAACTTTCCGGGCATAGAGCTGAAATGAGCTCGAGGTTGCAGTCTGGGCCCAGTTGCAGATGCAAGTCCTGGATTTTGATTTCTTCCATACTTTATTGAAAGAATGGGACATGTCGGCGTCTACCCAAGGAGGAAGAGAGAAAAAAAGACGACACACACTGTGCATGGCTCAACCTCGAATCGAACGAGGGATTTATGCGAGACTTGGTCCTGATTGCACCCAAGTATTACAGATGCGGACCATCCGCCACCGAGACGTTTCTGCTTCTACTTTCAGTCAAAATATATTGCTTACTTTTTGAGGCTGGGGAAATGGAAAAAATGAATGTGGTGGGCGTATTCGAATGTGGAAGAAAAGGTATTAGACTGTGACCAAGGTCCCACAGCGTTTACCAGGACAAAAAAGCTTGCCGCCAATGCATGCCTCAGGCTCGAATCGAACGAGCTACTTCTACGTATACCCGATGCGAATTCCGCACAGTTATTGTAGATGCGGGCCATCCGCCACCGAGGCTTTGCAGGACAGTACAGATTCCAAATATGTGGGCGACTTTTCGGGCATAGAGTTGAAACGAGGTAGCGATTTGGGTGTTTACTGCTTTCTTTGACTTGATTGAACATCAGTGGATTAGCTCGCGCCTGCCTAAGGATATAAAATAAAATGCACTTTATAGCAACATATGGCTCGGCCTCGAATCGAACGAGGGATCCCTGCTGAAACAGTTGAATCTTAAACACCAATATCTGCAAATGCGGACCATCCACCACCGAGCCGTTGCTTGCTCTGCTTTCAGTCTAATAAGTTGCCGACTTTATTGAAGCTGGGAAATGGATACAAAAAATGAACATGGTCCAAAGTGGTGAGTACGTTCAATACATATTGCTTGACTGTGAAAAAAAAGCTCTCTGAGTCTTAGATACAGGCTGCAACCAAAGGTCACACAGCGTTCACCACGACAGAAAAAAATCCGTTTGAGCTATTAATGCCTCGGGCTCGAATCGAACGAACTATGCCTGCGTTAGATAACATGCCACCACATTAATTCTCGCAGATGCGGACCATCCGCCACCGAGGCTTTGCAGGACAGTACAGACTCCAAATATGTGAGCGACTTTTCAGGCATAGAGGCGAAACGAGGTTGCAGTCTGAGCCTGTTACGGGTGCGAGTCCCGGTTCATTTATTTGTTCCATTTTTTGCCTTGATCCTTATTTTTAGTCGGTTCAGTTCCGCACCCACCGACGAAGGAAGAAAAAAAAGTCCTGTGTTGTCGTGCACTATGACTCGGCCTCGAATCGAACGAGTGATTCCTGCTCCACAATTAAAATTATATGAATTGTTGCAGGCGCGGACCATCCACCACCGAGCCGTTGCTTGCTCTACTTTCAGTCCAATAAGTTGCCGACTTTATTGAAGCTGGGAAATGGATACAAAAAAATGAATGTGGTCCAAAGTGGGGGGTACATTCAGTACATAGTGATCGAATATTAAAAAAGTCCTCTGAGTCTTAGATACAGACTGTCGCCAAAGTCCCACAGGGTACACCCAAGCAAAGAGGAAAAAAAAAACCTGACGCAGCAACCCATGCCTCGGGCTCGAATCGAACGAGCTGCGTCTGCCTTGAAATCCGAGCACAATACAATTGTTGCAGATACGGACCCTCCGCTACCGAGGCTTTTCAGGACACTATGGGATCGGAATATCTTGGTAACTTTCTAGGCACATTAGCAGCTGAGTCAGAAATACGTGAGGTCTGAACCCAGTTGCAAGTGTGGATTCCGGTTTGATTTATTTTGTTTTCTTCTCTTGGTCCTGATTTTTTGTCGATTCGTCCCAAGGAAGGAAGGAAAATAAGTGAATCGCTATCGTGCCATGGCTTGGCCTCGAATCGAACGAGTGGTTCCTGCTCAAATACAGCCCTAGACAGATATAATATTCCTGCCGGTGCGGGCCATCCATCACCGAGCCTTGCTGCTGCTACTCTTACTTGGAATATGCTGGGACTTTTTTTGAGGCTCGGAAATGGATACACAAAAAAGAAATGAACGTGGTGAAGTACTTGATTCGTGGTGCCCATATGATTCCAGGTTCCGATGCTAACAAACCGTCCTTGACGTTCCTCAACGACTTGATTGACGGGGATATGTTCGTACGCGCCGGGAATTGAATTGTGGATTTTCGTCTCAACCACATTTTATTGTATTGCTCTACCTCGTTTACCTTTGATCGGCTCAAATTGGAACTCCCTGGGCCAACCTACAATATATGTTCTGGCCCCCGAATATCAGGTCTGAGAACGCCATATTTGGCCTGATATTGTCCTTGCGCGGACAATATCAGACCATATCAGGTCATCGGACGGTCTCAGACCTGATAGGTCAACAATGATTTTTCCGACATCTAAAGTGGTGTGTGTATTGAATGATGTTTGATTGTGAAAAACAAAAGTCCTCGCAGACAACTGTGGCCAAAGACGCACAGGGTACACTAAAGCAAGGAGAAAAAACAATCAAATTGTCCAAGCACGCCCCGGGCTCGAATCGAACGAGCGACCTCTGCGCAACTTGGATAGCCTGCGAATTATTGTAGATGCGGACCATCCGCTACCGAGGCTTTGCAAGTATGTTCGAACTGGGAATATGTGGGCGACTTTCCAGGCATAGTGTGAAACGAGGTTGCAGTCTGAACTCAAGTGCAGGATGCAAGTCTGGTTCATCTGTATTTTGATGCTTACCGTGGCTTGAATAAGAGATGGGACATGTCAGCGTCTACCCAAGGAGGAAGAGAGAAAAAAACCGACATACACAACCTATGGCTCAGCCTCGAATCGAACGAGGGATTCCTGCTCAAATAACACCAATTGATATTTCCTGCAGGTGCGGACCATCCACCACCGAGCCGTTTCTGCCTCTACTTACTGTCCAATAGGTTGCCTACTTTTTTTGAGGAGGGACCAAAACATGAACGTTGTCCAGTGGAAATTCAGTGATATTTGAATGTGGAAAAAAAAGCCCCCTTAGATACAGACTGCAGCCAAGGTCACACAGCGTTTACCACGACAAAAAGAAAACCGTTGCCCACCACGCATGTCTCGGACTCGAATCGAACGAGCGATGTCTGCGCAACTGGGATGGGCATATGTGAATTGTTGCAGATGCGGACCATCCGCCATCGAGGCTTTTCGGGCCACTGCAGACTCGGAATATGTGGGCGACTTTCCAGGGATGGAGTTGAAACGAGGCAGCGGTCTGAACTCAAGTGCAGGATGCAAATGCTGGTTTGTTAGTTCTTTTGATTTCTTGTCTTGGCTCAAATGAACGATAAGTTTTGGTTGGTTGAATTTCGCACCCACCGACGAAGGAAGGAAAAAAAAAGTCTCGTTGTTGTATACCATGGCTCGGCCTCGAATCGAACGAGTGATTCCTGCTCAAAGAGCATGTAATAACCTACCTAATCATTGCAGGCGCGGGCCATCCGCCACCAAGCCATTTCTGCCTCTACTTGCAGTCCAATAGGTTGCCTACTTTTTTTTTTTTTAGGCTGGGAAAAGGTCTAAAGTGGGGAGTACGAATAGTGCTTGAATATGAAGAGAGAAAAAGTCTGCGCAGATAACCGTGGACAAAGGTCCCACAGTGTTTACCACGACAGAAAAAAAAAACGTTGCGGACCACGCATGCCTCGGGCTCGAATTGAACGAGCTATAATACTTCTACGTATACCCAATTCGATGCGACAATTGTCGCAGATGCGGACCATCCGCCACCGAGGCTTTGCAGGACACCACGGACTCCGAATATATTCGCTTGTTCCGGAGTCGGTAGTGGAAGTTTCTGGACTCCCCGGTTCATCTGGATTTGGTTTTTGATTTCTTCCATACTTTATTGAAAGAATGGGACATGTCGGCGTCTACCCAAGGAGGAAGAGAAAAAGAAATCGACACACACTATCTATGGCTCAGCCTCGAATCGAACGAGTGGTTCCTGCTCAAACGGTAGCATCTCACACGCCAATATCTACAGGTGCGGACCATCCGCCACCGAGCCGTTTCCACCTCTACTTTCATCCAAATAGGTCAACTACTTTTTTTGAGGAGGGACCAAAACATGAACGTTCTCAATGATGTTTGAATGTGAAAAAAAAAAATTCCGCGCAGATAACTGTGGCCAAAGTCGCACAGCGTTTACCACGACAAAAAGTATAGTTCCGACCAAGCATGCCTCGGGCTCGAATCGAACGAGCGACCTCTGCGTAAGGTCGAGGATATCCATCTACCCGTTGCAGATGCGGACCATCCGCCACCGAGGCTTTTCAAAGCACTGCCAACTCCGAATATATTGGCAACTTTCCAGGCATGGAGTTGAAACAAGGTAGCGGTCTGAGCCTGGTTGCAGATGGTTCATCTGGATTTTGATTTCTTGTCTTGACTCAAATTTATGATCGGTAATATTTGGTCGATTCAATGTCGCATCCACCAAGGAAGGGAGAAAAATACATCGCCATTGTTACATATCGCACCATGGCTCGGCCTCGAATCGAACGAGGGATCCTGCTCAAACGGTAGAATCTGAATCATCAATATCTGCAGGTGCGGACCATCCGCCACCGAGCCATTTCTGCCTCTGCTTTCAGTCCAATAGGTTGCCGACTTTCTTTGAGCTTGGAGAAATGGAACAAAATAAATGTGATGAGTACGCTCATTGTGAAAAAAGGCCTCGCAAATACAAACTGTGGCCAAAGTCCCACAGTGTTTGCCAAAGCAAGGAGAAAAAAAAAATGACACCGAGGACCAACATACCTCGGGCTCGAATCGAACGAGCGACCTCTGCGCAACTGGAATAGTATGCGAATTATTGCAGATGCGGACCATCCGCTACCGAGGCTTTTCAAAGCACCACAGACTCTGAATATATTCACATGTTCCGGAGTCGGTAGTGGAAGTTTCTGGACTCCCCGGTTCATCTGGATTTGGTTTTTGATTTCTTCCATACTTTATTGAAAGAATGGGACATGTCGGCGTCTACCCAAGGAGGAAGAGAAAAAAAAAGACGACACACTGTCTATGGCTCAGCCTCGAATCGAACGAGAGATCCCTGCTCAACTTCGCAAGAATATGTACATCCACAATCGTTGCAGGTGCGGACCATCCGCCACCGAGCCTTTTCTCTACTTTCATCCAAATAGGTCAGCCACTTTATTTTGAGGCTGGGAAGTGGATACAAAATGAAGGTGGTCCAAAGTGCTGAGTACATTCAATATGAACAAAAAGTCCTACAGACTGCGTCCAAGGTCCCACAGTGTTTATCACGACTAAAAAAATAGTCTTGACACCATGCCTCGGGCTCGAATCGAACGAGCTACGCCTGCGTTAGATACCATATCATCACAGTTAATTCTCGCAGATGCGGACCGTCCGCCACCGAGGCTTTTCAGAACATTACGGACTCCAAATATGTGGGCTACTTTCCAGACATAGAGTTGAAATGAGCTCGAGGTTGCAGTTTGAGTCTGGTTGCAGATGCAAATTATGGTTTTCTCGTTTTTTTGATTTTTTGTCTTGGCTCAAATGATCGGTAATTTTTGGCCGGTTCAATTTCGCACCCACCGACGAAGGAAGGGAAAAAAGTCTCGTTATTGTATACCATGGCTCGGCCTCGAATCGAACGAGGAATTCCTGCCTGCTCAACGTGGCGGTACAACAACAATCGTTGCAGGCGCGAACCATCCGCCACCGAGCCGGTGAATGCCCTGCGCTCACTCGGAATATGTTGATGACTTTTTGAGGCTGAGAAAGGGACACAAAATGAACGTGGTCTAAAGTGGTGTGAGTCCGTTCAATACATAATGCTTGGAGATGTAATAGTAATAAAATTCCTTATAGACTGTGCCCACTCAGGTCTGTTATCCATGGCCACTAAGGTCTCACAGCGTTTACCCCGACAAAAGAAAAATAGCTGTCCGTAACCAATGCATGCCTCGGGCTCGAATCGAACGAGCTACTTCTACGTATACGCAACGCGATGTCACAACTGTTGTAGATGCGGACCATCCGCCACCAAGGCTTTGCAGGAGAGTACAGACTCCAAATATGTGGCCTACTTTTCTGGCATACGAGCTCGAGGTAGCGGTCTGAGCCCAGTTGCAGGATGCAAGTCCCGGTTCATTTATTTCTTTAATTTTTTTGCCTTGATCCTTATTTTTAGTCGGTTCAGTTTCGCTCCTACCCAATGCACAAAAGAAAAACTGTAGGCGCCATTCTGCATGGCTCGGCCTCGAATCGAACGACGGATTCCTGCTCCACAATTAAAATTACATGAATTCTTGCAGGCGCAGACCATCCGCCACCGAGCCGGTTAATGCCCTGCGCTCACTCGCAATATGTTGGGGACTTTTGTTGAGGCTGGGAAAGGGACACAAAAAAATGAATGTGGTCCAAAGTGGGGGGTACATTCAATACATATTGCTTGACTGTGAAAAAAAAAGCTCTCTGAGTCTTAGATACAGACTGTCGCCAAGGTCCCACAGGGTACACCGAAGCAAAAAGAAAAAAACCTTCCGCAGCAACAGATGCCTCGGGCTCGAATCGAACGAGCTACTTCTACGTATACCCGCTTTGAGCTACGCACAATGGTTGTAGGTGCGGACCATCCGCTACCGAGGCTTTTCAGGACTGCGGACTCTGAATATGTGGGCGACTTTCCACGTATGGAGTTGAAACGAGGTACGTAGCGGTCTGCGGATGCGCATCCCAGCGCATCTGGTTTGTCAGTATTGCTGTGGCTTGAATATTTGAATGAGAGAACCCAGTGAATTGGATCGCGCCTGCCCAAGGATGAAACAAAAAAAAAAGGATGAATTTTATGGCGATAACCCATGGCTCGGCCTCGAATCGAACGAGGTCCGCCTACTCAAATACAACCAGGGTCGCATGTACTTAATATGGTGCAGGTGCAGACCATCCACCACCGAGCCGTTTCTGCCTCTACTTTCATCCAAATAGGTCAGCTACTTTTTTTGAAGAGGGACCAAAACATGAACGTTGTCCAGTGGAAATTCAATGATGTTTGAATGTGAAAAAAAAGCCCCCTAGATAAATACTGTGGTCGATGTCCCATTTTGTTTACCACGACAACAAAAAAGGTTTCCGACAGGCCATCATGCCTCGGGCTCGAATCGAACGAGCTACGCCTGCGTTAGATAACATACCACCACAGTTAATTCTCGCATATGCGGACCATCCACCACCGAAGCTTTTCAAAGCACTACGGACTCTGAATATATTCGCATGTTCCGGAGTTGGTACTAGTGGAAGTTTCTGGAACCAGTTGGGGTGCGAATCCCGGTTCATCTGGATTTGGTTTTTGATTTCTTCCATTGACTTGTAGGAATGGGACATGTCGGCGTCTACCCAAGGAGAAAGAGAAAAAAAAAGACGACACACACTGTGTATGGCTCGGCCTTGAATCGAACGAGGGATCCCTGCTCAAAGCTAGAATCATGATACTAATATCTGCAGGTGCGGAACATCCGCCACCGAGCCGTTTCTGCCTCTACTTTCATCCAAATAGGTCAGCTACTTTTTGAGGCTGGGAAATGGATTCGAAGGTCTAAAGAGGTGAGTATCATATCAAATGGTGCTTCAAGATGAAGAAAAACGTCCCCCTAGCTAAATACTGCGGCCGAGGTCCCACGGGGTACACTAAAGCCAAGAAAACTCGCTGGTTGACTAAGTATGCCTCAGGCTCGAATCGAACGAGCGACCTCTGCGCAACTTGGATGGGCAGATGTGAATTGTTGCAGATGCGAACCATCCGCCACCGAGGCTTTTCAAACCATTGCCAACTCAAAATATATTGGCAACTTTCCCTGAAACGAGGTAGCGGTCTGTGGATGCAAGTCCTGGTTCATCTGGATTTTGATTTCTTGTCTTGATTCGAGTGAGCTTTTTTGACTGGTTCCCTTTCGCTCCCACGCAAGGAAGGGGTAAGAAAAAGCAGCACGGGTTTCTTATGGCTTGGCCTCGAATCGAACGAGGGATCCCTGCTCAAAGCCAGAATCATGATACTACTCTAATAGAGAGCTTGCGCAAAAGCCGCACGAGCCGCATGCGGCTTTTGGCCATTGCGCGAAGCCGCGTGCGGAAATCAAATTTGAAGTTACTGAGAAACCAAGTCGATGGAAGGGTAGTTGGATCCAAGGACAAGTACAGGTGGGTGAAGAAATCTCATTTATGCCTCAACTGCTGTGTGCAAGACGCGAAAAGTGTGGGAAGTCTGAGTGGAGCTGGAGTGATGGCCGGAAAAACGGCCCCCCAAGGTTGCGCATCGACCAGATACCCATTTGGATGAATGCAAGACCGTGTCACAGAGACTGGAGGGAGCATTGAATTCACAAAAACATAGAGGGAACAAGGCAAAAACCTTGTAATTTTGCGCAATGCCCAAAAGCCGCATGCGGCTCGTGCGGCTTTTGCCCAAGCTCTCTAATATCTGCAGGTGCGGACCACCCGCCACCGAGCCGGTTAATACCTTGCTCTCACTCGCAATATGTTGGGGACTTTATTTTGAGGCCGGGGAAATGGATTCAAAGGTCTAAAGAGGTGAGTACACTAAAGCAAAAAAAAAAAACCCCCGCTGGTTGACAAGGCATGCCTCGGGCTCGAACCGAACGAGCTACCTCTACGTATACCTAATGCAAGTTATGCACAATTGTTGTAGATGCTGACCATCCGCTACCGAGGCTTTGCAGGACAGTACAGACTCCAAATATATTCGCACGTTCCGGGCTTGGTAGTGAAAAATTCTCGACCCAGTTGGGGTGCGAGTCCCGGTTCATCTGGATTTGGTTTTTGATTTCTTTCATTGACTTGAAAGAATGGGACATGTCGGCGTCTACTCAAGGAGGAAGAGAAAAAAAATCGACACACACTGTCTATGGCTCGGGCCTCGAATCGAACAAGTGACTTCTGCGGAGCTTGGCACCCAAGTATTGCAAATGCGGACCATCCGCCACCGAGCCGGTTAATACCCTTGCGCTCACCCGGAATATGCTAATGACTTTATTGAGCCTGGAGAAATGGATACAAACGAAGGTGGTGAGTACATTCATGAGTGCTTGAGAAAAAAGGATAGGCCAAGGTCCCATTTTGTTTACCATGACAACAAAAATAGGTTTCCGACAGGGCATGCCTCTGGCTCGAATCGAACGAGCTACGTCTGCGTCACGTCAGTTGCCGTACCCAACCGTTGCAGATGCGGACCATCCGCCACCGAGGCTTTGCAGGAGAGTACAGACTCCAAATATGTGGGCGACTTTCCAGGCATGTATTTGAAATCAGGTAGCAGTCTGAGCCCAGTTGCAGATGCAAATCCTGGTTTGTTAGTTCTTTTGATTTCTTGCCTTGGCTCCAATGATCGGCAATATTTGGTCGGTTCAATTTCGCACCCACCGACGAAGGAAGAAAAAAAGTCCTCTGTCGGGTACTATGGCTCGGCCTCGAATCGAACAAGAGATTCCTGCTCAACTATGTAACAACAACAATCGTTGCAGGCCCGACCATCCGCCACCAAGCCATTTCTGTCTCAACTTTCAGTCCAATAGGTTGCCGACTTTTTGAAGCTGGGGAATGGAGGGATAAAAAAAATGAACATGGTGATTACATTCAATAGTGCTTGACTGTGAAAAAAAAGCTCTCTGAGTCTTAGATACAGACTGTCGCCAAAGTCGCACAGCGTTTACCACGACAAAAAAAAAAGCGTTTCCCACCATGCATGCCTCGGGCTCGAATCGAACGAGTGACCTCTGCGCAACTGGGATGGGCATATGTGAATTGTTGCAGATGCGGACCACCCGCCACCGAGGCTTTTCAAAGCACTACGGACTCTAAATATGTGGACAACTTTCCAGGCATAGAGTTGAAACGAGGTAGTGGTCTGAGCCCGTTGCGGGTGCGAGTCTCAGTTCATTTAAATTTGTTTGCTTGCCTTGGCTCGAGTGAACCTTGTTCGATCCACTTTCCCTCCTACCCAATGACTAAAAAAAGTCGATTTTATTTCCATGGCTCGGCCTCAAATCGAACGAGGATTCCTGCTTCCCGCTTAAATACAGTCCGGGTCCAGTATAATATTGTGCAGGCGCGGACCATCCGCCACCGAGCCGGTTCATACCCTACTTGCACTCGGAATATGTTGATGACTTTATTTTGAGGCTGGGAAATGGATACAAACGAAGGTGGTGAGTACATTCATGAGTGCTTGAGACAAAAGGATAGGCCAAGGTCCCATTTTGTTTACCACGACAAAAAAGAATGACTCCGACAATGCATGCCTCGGGCTCGGATCGAACGAGCGACCTCTGCGCAACTTGGATAGCATGTGAATTGTTGCGGCTGTGGACCATCCGCTACCGAAGCTTTTCAGGACACCACGGACTCTGAATATATCCGCACGCCCCGGAGTTGGTAGTGGAAGTTTCTGGACTCAGTTAAGGGTGCAAGTCCCGGTTCATTTATTTGTTCCATTTTTTGCCTTGATCCTTATTTTTAACCGGTTCAGTTTCGCACCCACCGACGAAGGAAGAAAAAAAAGTCCTGTTGTCGTATACTATGGCTCGGCCTCGAATCGAACGAGTGATTCCTGCTCCACAATTAAAATTATATGCATCGTTGCAGGCGCGGACCATCCACCACCGAGCCGTTGCTTGCTCTACTTTCAGTCTAATAAGTTGCCGACTTTATTGAAGCTGGGAAATGGATACAAAAAAATGAACATGGTCCAAAGTGGTGAGTACGCTCAATAAATACTGCTTGACTGTGAAAAAAAAAAGCTCTCTGAGTCTTAGATACAGGCTGCAGCCAAGGTCACACAGCGTTTGCCACGACAAAAAAAAAGCGTTTCCCACCACGCATGCCTCGGGCTCGAATCGAACGAGCGATGTCTGCGCAACTTGGATAGCGTGCGAATTGTTGCAAATGCGGACCCTCCGCTACCAAGGCTTTTTAGGACATTACGGACTCGGAGTTTGTTCACAACTTCCCAGGCATGGAGTTGAAACGAGGTTGCAGTCTAAGCCTGGTTGCAGATGCAAGTCCCGGTTCATTTATTTGTTCTATTTTTTGCCTTGATCCTTATTTTTTGCCGGTTCAGTTTCGCACCCACCAAGGAACAAAAAAAAAGACATACTACCTTACTATGGCTCGGCCTCGAATCGAACGAGAGATTCCTACTCGGCGGCGGCTTAGGCGCAAACGTGGCGTTGCAGACAATTAGAATAACATGAATTGTTGCAGGCGCGACCATCCGCCACCGAGCCGGTGAATGCCCTGAGCTCGCTCGCAATATGGTGGGGACTTTTTTGGAGGTTGAGGAGAGAAAGACGATGAATGTGGTCCAAAGAGGGGAGTACGAACAGTGCTTGAATATGAAGAGAAAAAAAGTCTGCGCAGATAACTGTGGCCAATGTCCCACAGCGTTTACCACGACAAAAAAGATAGTTCCGATCAAGCGCATGCCTCGGGCTCGAATCGAACGAGCGATGTCTGCGCAACTGGGATGGGCATATGTGAATTGTTGCAGATGAGGACCATCCGCTACCGTGGCTCTTCAAAGCACTACGGACTCTAAATATGTGGGCGACTTTCCAGGCATCCTGTTGTGGGTGCGAGTCCCGGTTCATTTAAATTTGTTTCCTTGCCTTGGCTCGAGTAAACCTTGGTCGATCCACTTTCGCTCCCACCAAGGAAGAAAAAGCACCTGGATCAATAACTCCCCATGGCTCGGCCTCGAATCAAACGAGTGATCCCCGCTCAAACGGTAGAATCACACACACCAATATCTGCAGATGCGGACCATCCGTGTCAGCGACGGCGCTTTAGGTCAGCCTGACCGTGACGTAGCCCGACGTGGCCACAGCCCCAGCGCGGGTGTTGAGGGGAAAGATGTCACTGCATCGAATAGCGAGTGACCATCTGCCAAGAACCCGTGCAAGTTGAACCAGAACCCGGACCATTGGAATGGTGTGCAGTCGATGCAGCAATAACCCGGTCTAACCGGGTTATTCCGGGTTGCTGTTCTGGATTGCTTGCAGTGAGAATCCATAGGCAATGAGTGTCCGATGTTGATATAGTGTACTCGGACACACACAACTCTAGTCCACTAGCAGTGTTCCATGTTGGCGGTTGGTTGTGGGTTCACTGCTCTATGACCATGCAGATCTCCGCCGGTTACCCAGCCAGAGTCTGCCTTGCTAATCCACACAGAGGCAAGTGTCTCAATGTATGGATGCAAGTTGGTGAAAGCAGTTTCCGACGACGAACCACTGAGCCCGAGGGCCGTGGCAACCAGTGATAGATGGAGAGTTGGGGATAGGGGCCAGGGGTCTGCCAACAATGACCACGAGAGGACAGAGCCCAAGGCAACGAGATGGACAGAAGCGAGAACAGCTTAAGTCACACACAAGTCAAGTCAAGGCCAAGGTAAGGCCGGAGAATAGACGAGATAGAATCTACCGTACAGGGAGATTCTACTGCTACTTATATACTGTGGATACAAAGGGGTCCGATCATATGAATATGTATTCTCCACTGACCATCAAAGGATCGAGATGTCAGTTGCAAGGGGTGTGGTTGAAATACGATCGGGGTTGAAATATGATCGTGGGCAAAAGATGATCATGGTTGAAATATGATCGGTAGGAGTTCAAGTGAGGAGCCAGCGCGATCACGATCGAGTTGGGTGTGCCTAGCGTATAGGGTCCGGGAACTAGTGACAGTTGGACGCATAGGAGTGGGCAAGGGGATAGACAGCTGTCCATGGAGAGGAGTCCAATATGAATGTGAGGACAAGTTGTTTCGAGTCTCAGGGGTTAAGAATAACCCTGGCAATGATATGTAGTGTGATCGGAGGTTGGGGAATGACCAGGCAACAGTGTCGTTCCTAATATCCTCGATCATTGGCTGTTCGATCTGAAACCCGGGGGTTCTAATAACCCGGGGATGTGTTTGAGCCGCAATGAGCAGTGCGAATTGCGCGAATGAAAAGTTTGAGAAAGGCCAAGAAATGCCAAATCATGACAATCCATCACCGAGCTGTTGCTTGCTCTACTTTCCGTCCAATAAGTTGCCGACTTTATTGAAGCTGGGAAATGGATGCAAAAAAATGAACATGGTCCAAAGTGGTGAGTACACTGAATACATATTGCTTGACTGTGAAAAAAAAGCCCTCTGAGTCTTAGATACAGACTGCAGCCAAGGTCACACAGCGTTTACCACGACAAAAAAAAAAACCCGTTTCCCACCACGCATGCCTCGGGCTCGAATCGAACGAGCTACTTCTGCAGATAAAAGTCCCACCATAGCTAATTCTCGCAGATACGGACCATCCGCTACCGAGGCTTTGCAGGACACCACGGACTCCAAATATGTGGACAACTTTCCAGGCATCCTGTTGCGGGTGCGAGTCTCAGTTCATTTAAATTTGGTTTGCTTGCCTTGGCTCGAGTAAACCTTGGTCGATCCACTTTCGCTCCCACCAAGGAAGAAAAAAAGCAACTAGATTACCAACCTCCCATGGCTCGGCCTCGAATCGAACGAGGGATCCCTGCTCAAACGGTTGAATCTGAACCATCAATATCTGCAGGTGCGGACCATCCACCACCGAGCCGTCCCTGCCTCTACTTTCAGTCCAATAGGTTGCCGACTTTCTTTGAGGCTGGGAAATGGATACAAAAAAATGAACATGGTCCAAAGTGAGGGGTACATTCAATACATAGTGATTGAATATTAAAAAGTCCTCTGAGTCTTAGATACAGACTGTCGCCAAAGTCCCACAGGGTACACCCAAGCAAAGAGAAAAAAAACCTGGCGCCGCAACCCATGCCTCGGGCTCGAATCGAACGAGCGACCTCTGCGCAACTTGGATGAGCAAATGTAAATTGTTGCAGATGCTCACCATCCGCTACCGAGGCCTTTCTGGGGACCACGGACTCCGAATATATTCGCATGTTCTGGAGTCGGCAGTGGAAGTTTCTGGACTCCCCGGTTCATCTGGATTTGGTTTTTGATTTCTTCCATACTTTGTTGAAAGAATGGGATATGTCGGCGTCTACCCAAGGAGAAAGAGAGAAAAAAATCGACACACAATCCACTTATGGCTCAGTCTCGAATCGAATGAGGGATTTATGCGGGACTTGGTCCTGATTGCACCCAAGTATTGCAGATGCGGACCATCCGCCACCGAGCCGTTTCTGCATCTACTTTCAGCCAAAATATATTTCCAACTTTTTTGAAGCTGGGGAAATGGATACAAAGGTCTAAAGTGGTGAGTACATTCAATACATACTATCAGCGACTGCCTATCCGGCCAGACTAGGTAACCGGCCACTTGCCTAATATAAGCCGGTGCAACGTATAATACTCGAATTTGGCAGTTGTTGGTTGGACTACGACCTATGGGGACCTTGCATGTCAAATTTGAAGGCAAGAGAAGGCGGCAATCAAACGTTGCGGGAGTTTCGAACAAGATGCCGGGCGTGGGAGCATCATTTCTTATCCCCGACCGGCCTTCTCGCTCGTCTTTTCCTTATTGCTCCCCCAATTCCTGGCCAAATCACAAGTGTGGGGGTCCGTTCTCATCACATGGTTCGGGGCGATGGCCCATGGCTAAATTATCAGTGAAAAACCTTCCGCTGGTCTACTTAATTCTCCGAGAAGACCTTGACTCGATTTCGAGTGGCACAAACTGGCCACCTCTGCAACGAACCAGCCACGTTTGCTAGGTGCCTGGGATTTGACTCGGTCATTCAAGACACCTCATAATGTATCCTACGATGTTGATTGGGCTTTTAACTGTCCGACCTCCTGTTCACGGTGGGTTAACATCGAAAACCACCAAATTTCATTGATGCATACAGGTGGACTTTTTGGAGGGGTAGTTGGGATATGGGGGACCTAGTTTGCTAACAGGTACGTCGTACTACGTCTCATTTAGGCATATGGATCTCTATTTGGGCCCTAAATTCCCTCTGTGCTTTGCAGGGCACACCATTTGCTCCGCACTCAATCCCGGCCATTCTCCTTGGCCAGCAACCGAATCAGTCGTGGTCCCTATACATGTTATATTTACAGTTTGAGGGTATGTAATAATGTATTTCGATCCAATGAATGATTTAGGATGCACTGGGATGAACAGTACAAGTGTCAACGAAGGATTTAGATGGGTGGCCGGTTAGGCCGTTTTTGCCGTTTTGGGCATCCGCCCGCGAAAGAATTCGGCATGCCATGAAATGTTCATGTAAATTCGCAAAAAATATCTCAACACACTTGCGGGATGTATGCCTTCGATTAAGACCCTCTATGCCTGTATCAGTCGGACTATGTGTATGGGCCCGGGGCGATAAACGCTAAGGTGGCCGAGAAGGCAGTCTCTGATAGTACATAGTGATTGAATATGAAAAAAGTCCTCTGCGTCTTAGATACAGACTGTCGCTAAAGTCCCACAGGGTACACCAAAGCAAAGAGAAAAAAACCTTACGCAGCAACAGATGCCTCGGGCCCGAATCGAAGGAGCTGCGTCTGCCTTGAAATCCGAGCACAATACAATTGTTGCAGATACGGACCCTTCGCCACCGAGGCTTTTCAGGACACTATGGGATCGGAATATCTTGGTAACTTTCTAGGCACATTAGCAGCTGAGTCAGAGATACGTGAGGTCTGAACCCAGTTGCAAGTGTGGATTCCGGTTTGATTTATTTTGTTTTCTTCTCTTGGTCCTGATTTTTTGTCGATTCATCCCAAGGAAGGAAGAAAAAGAAAGTATCACGCTATGGCTCAGCCTCGAATTGAACGAGGGATTCCTACTCCACGATTAAAATAACATGAATTGTTGCAGGCGCAGACCATCCGCCACCGAGCCGTTCCTGCATCTACTTTCAGCCAAAATATACTGCCAGCTTTTTTGAGGCTGGGGAAATGGAATAAAATAAATGTGGTGAGTGTCATATCAAATGATGCTTCAATATGAAGAAAAAAGTCTCCCTAGATAAATACTGCGGCCAAGGCCCCACAGAGTACACTAAAGCAAAAAAAAAAACCCCCGCTGGTTGACAAAGCATTGACATGCCTCGGGCTCGAATCGAACGAGCTACGTCTGCGTTAGATAAAACTCCACCACAGGTAATTCTCGCAGATGCATATGCGGACCATCCGCTACCGAGGCTTGGCAAGTACCTTCGAACTCGGAATACGTTGGCAACTTTCCGGGCATAGAGTTGAAATGAGCTCGAGGTTGCAGTCTGGGCCCAGTTGCAGATGCAAGTCCTGGTTTTTCTGGATTTTGATTCTTACCGTGGCTTGAATAAGAGATGGGAAATGTTGGCGTCTACCCTCGGAACAAAAAAAAAAGTACCATCTATCGGTGTTATGGCTCAGCCTCGAATCGAACGAGAGATTCCTGCTCAACTACGTGACGACAACAATCGTTGCAGGCGCGACCATCCGCCACCGAGCCGTTGCTTCATCTACTTTCAGTCCAGTAAGCTGCCTACTTTTTTCTTGAGGCTGGGAAATGGTCTAAAGTGGGGAGTACGAATAGTGCTTGAATATGAAAAAAAAAAGCCCTCTGAGTCTTAGATACAGACTGTCGCCAAAGTCCCACAGGGCACACTCAAGCAAAGAGAAAAAAAAATCTGACGCAGCAACCCATGCCTCGGGCTCGAATCGAACGAGCGACCTCTGCGCAACTTGGACGAGCAAATTTAAATTGTTGCAGATGCGTACCATCCGCCACCGAGGCTTTTCAAAGCACTGCGAACTCCAAATATGTGGAAAACTTTCTGGGCATGGAGTTGAAACGAGGCAGCGGTCTGAACTCAAGTGCAGGATGCAAATGCTGGTTTGTTAGTTCTTTTGATTTCTTGTCTTGGCTCAAATGAACGATAAGTTTTGGTTGGTTGAATTTCGCACCCACCGACGAAGGAAGGAAAAAAAAAGTCTCGTTGTTGTATACCATGGCTCGGCCTCGAATCGAACGAGTGATTCCTGCTCAAAGAGCATGTAATAACCTACCTAATCATTGCAGGCGCGGGCCATCCGCCACCAAGCCATTTCTGCCTCTACTTGCAGTCCAATAGGTTGCCTACTTTTTTTTTTTTAGGCTGGGAAATGGTCTAAAGTGGGGAGTACGAATAGTGCTTGAATATGAAGAGAGAAAAAGTCTGCGCAGATAACCGTGGACAAAGGTCCCACAGTGTTTACCACGACAGAAAAAAAAAATGTTGCGGACCACGCATGCCTCGGGCTCGAATTGAACGAGCTATAATACTTCTACGTATACCCAATTCGATGCGACAATTGTCGCAGATGCGGACCATCCGCCACCGAAGCTTTGCAGGACACCACGGACTCCGAATATATTCGCTTGTTCCGGAGTCGGTAGTGGAAGTTTCTGGACTCCCCGGTTCATCTGGATTTGGTTTTTGATTTCTTCCATACTTTATTGAAAGAATGGGACATGTCGGCGTCTACCCAAGGAGAAAGAGAGAAAAAAAATCGACACACACTATCTATGGCTCAGCCTCGAATCGAACGAGGGATTTATGCGGGACTTCGTCCTGATTGCACCCAAGTATTGCAGATGCGGACCATCCGCCACCGAGCCGTTTCTGCTTCTACTTTCAGTCCAATAGGTTGCCTACTTTTTTTGAGAGTGGGGAAAGGGAGGGATAATGAACGTGATGAGTAGATTCAATAGAGTGACCCGGTTGCAGATGCGGACCATCCGCCACCGGGGTATTTCGGGGTACTTTGACTGCAGAATATGCTGGCAACTTTCTGGGCACGTTCGCAGCTGAGTAAGAGATACCTGTGGTCTGGCCCAGTTACATGGTTAGGTACTTGGTTTTCATTTTATTGCCTTGGAATTAACCCGAATTATCTGGTTATGTTTCACCTCAATCCATGCAATACTCGTCGAGATACTATCCCCCCCCACCGCGCCGGACAAACCTACTACTCGGACAACCAAACATTTCTCGTCTAATACTGGTCCGTTTCCTGAGATCTTTGGCGCGACATAAGCGGTAGAAGGTGCCCTTGAGATATGGGGTCCAAAACTCTTACAATCTTGTATCGTTCAAATATATATCACCCCGAAAGTTGGCAACTTGAGCCATTTCCCCTGATTTTGCACATTTTCTTTACTAGACCTACCACAACGTTGCCACTACTCCATGGAATCCCGCAAACAGCATGGTTGCTGCAAGGTGCATAGCCTCATCAGGTACAGTGTAGGTCCAACTACGTCTGTTCGCATTCCGCCACGTTGGTGGCATTCAATTATTTCCCTCGCGAATTTATTTCCAATAGGTTAGGAAACTCGGTGCCGTGTCCAATGGAGCCGGGGGTCGACCCTCGTGGGCGAAACGGCGCCGACGCCTAATACTGAGAATTCCATCTGCTATGGCTTTCATTTTATCGGTCAGCCTGCAATGGATTAGGTTTCACATCACATTCTAATTCCGTCGGCATAATCTTCTGCGATTCCCTATGTCACCGGGAACGCAGTCCGTCAATTCTGGCACCGGAGTCGTCAACCCCCCGAAGTTATATGTACTGAAAACCACGTCGAACCATCAAGCTGGAATGAACGTCCGTTTAAACTTCACGAAATTCAATTCTCTCGCTGTTTCATTTCGACCATAGGCTCACTTCACCGCGGATCTTCGAGCCTCCGACTACGAAATACCGAAAATTCATGCCGTCTGTCGACACTTCATGCCGTCTGTCCGCTCTTTTATTGACTCGGTAACATATACCTCCTTAGGTCTTCTCTCGAAAGCACCAACCTTATAAAACCAGTCAGTGAGGACTCCTCGAGCCAAGATCCATCGCACGCACACCACGATGACTCCGTTTTGTAAGTCATGCATATTATTCTTGTTGAAAGTCTTGCCCACTGGGTCATTTAGACCTGAATGCCTTGTTTGTCCTCCTGGTCGCGAGATTCGCCCTCGCTGCGGCTCCCAACGGTAGACGTCAAAGTATTGTGGACCTTGCAAAGACAGCGTTAATACCTCTCTGATAATCTCTGATAGTTGTAACAACCACAGCAGCGCCGACCAGCGAATGTACTGGTTCAACTACAGTTTATTCAACCGCGACGAGCACCGCTACCACTACTTTGACGTCGACGGATTGGGTACCATTACCTTGACCTCTACAGTTTACTCCACGGTGACGGCGACGGCGACGGACACAATTACTTCGACGGCGACGGACACGATCACTTTGACCTCCACGGACGCGGTAACGGTGACCGAGAGCACCTCCACCAGTATCACGGCGACACCAACCACGACGTCAACCAGTACGAGTACGGAAACACCAACCACGACGCCAACCAACAACATCAACACCTCCATCCACGACAAGGAGCACCTGCGACACCGCCACTGCAACGCCGGTTACCTCGTGGACCTACCTCGGATGTTATACCGATAGTATCTCCGTCCGCACCCTCAGTGCGGTACAAAAGGGCGGCATCACTGACAACAGTGTGGCAGATTGCCAGGCCACCTGCTTGAATGCCGGATATGACTGTGCCGGCGTCGAATTCAGCGTACGTCCATTCCCCCTTAGCCACTCTATTGCGCTGAAGCATCTCTCTACAGAGCCAGTGCTTCTGCGGCTCGTCCATCAGAGCCGGTGTAACCCTCGGAGGCACCTGCAACTATGCGTGCAGCGGTGGTGGTACGTACTCCGGTTTTCTGCACCAACAATTTTAACGTATTTCATTCCAATATTCGGCACCTGCGGAGGGGACGATGCTATTGACATTTATAAGGCAGTGACGGCGCCGTGTGTCACACCATGGACATTCCGTGGCTGCTACCCCGACAGCATCGCCACCCGCACCCTCAGTGCGAAGCAAATTCTCGGCATCACTAACAACAGTGTTGCGAGTTGTCAGGCGAGTTGCTTGGATGCCGGCGTCGAATTCCGCGTACGTCCATTCCCTCTTAGCCACTCTATTGCGCTGAGGCATCTCTCTACAGAACCAGTGCTTCTGCGACTCATCCATCCTAGCCGGCGTAAAGCCCGCAAGCCTGACCAACTGCCAAGACGCGTGCACCAGCGGCGGTATGCATCATCCCGCCTCGGTCTATTTCCAAAATTTTTGACGTATTTCTTTGCGACAGTTGGCGCCTGCGGAGGGACCGATTATATTGCTATCTACGAGGCTGCCTGATCCCGCGCTCAGATCACTTGGTACATGTGGCAGATTTGATTACACCCCTCCGGGATCGAACTTTTCTTTGGATTTCGATACGATATAATTCCTTACTTCTTTACACTTATTTTGTTAGCAGAGGGTGACCATCATGCGCCGGGTCTTGGCGTAGCTGTGTGGACTTTTTTGGCGACATCACAATATATCGCTTTGACCGTCTTATTTGAGTGATGCAAAAATTCCTGAGAATAGTGTTGCATTACCATGGCTGCATACACCGAACGAAACCAACCAAAAAAGAAAGCTATAACAGATCTATGCCCCAGGCTCGAATTCAACGAGTGATCTCTGTAACAGGTGTTTGCCTTGCAGCTCTGACATGATTGCATATGCGGGCCATCCACCACCGAGGTATGAACCCAGTTGCAAGTGTGAATTCCGGTTGATTTATTTTGATTTCTTGGTTTGACTCGACTCTCGAGTGAGCTATATATGTCAGTGAACTGGCTCACGCCTGCCCAAGGATATTTTTTTACAAAAAGATGTAGGCGACCACATGGCTCGGCCTCGAATTGAACGAGAAATTTCTGCTCAAATATCGCAATCGAGGTTGATATTCCTGCAGGTGCAGACCATCCGCCACCGAACCTTGTTGCTGCTACTCTTACTTAGAATACATTGGAGAC